CCACGACAAATTTGTGAAATGTTCCAATTTTTGGTGAGTGTTTGTCGTGTTCCGACCATAAAGGATAGTTTAAAACCACAATTAACCACTCAGGAGCAAAAATCAGCCTTCAAACTTGAAAGAAATAATGATTTGACATTTAGCGCGATATGTATCGATATCGAACAATATGAATTTTGTTTATCGTGATAACATTTTTGGCCATATCGCCCAGCTCTACATTTGAACTGTGATCTAGAAATAGTGCAGAATATTAAGGGTGTGTTCACATCTAAAAGTCCATACCAAGGTCTGAACCAATCCGAATGTTTTTGTTACACTGTATACATTTGATTTGATTGGTTTCACATTTAGTGAGCGCACTGAAGAACTTTGCATGACGTACTTACATCCTGTCATCAACACCTATGTGTTTCACATTGATTGGTTTGTAGAGGAGCGTATGTCTGACAACAGTGTGTTGTCAAATCAGCGGGTAGCCTTTTCCTTTTGAATGGAGAAAAATGTATACCTTTCTCTCTCATCCTCCCAGGAAATACATTTTTATGCATTTTTTTAAGTTTACCTTTGACCTTTTCATTAGACCAAATTACAATTAAATATTTCTTCTTCTCCTCTCCCCATGTGCCACCGTGGCTTTTCCAGTTCTTTTTCCTCTTCTGTTGTTTAATGGGTGATAACTGCCTGCCTCAACTTCCTTTAATTGGTCCGAAAGTCTAAACCATCCAAAAAGTCTTTTCACACTGCAGACGAACTGAGCCATGGTTCAATTTGATCTGGACCAAGACCAACTCTTATGGCTACATTTTGGTTCTTTGGTCCAGACCGTGGTCCAAGGCATCTTTTACACCTGCTATTGTGGTTTGGACCAAACTGATTTTAGACTTTTGAACATTATATAAAATTTATTTTTTGATCATTTCATTCCTGCACTGTGTGACTTGTGTTGGTCAATAACTGCTCACTTATGACACAGTAATACAGGCTAAACAAGAAAAACTAATAACCTTTAAAGTGCCCTTAAGTCATAAGTTAAAACACAAAAAAATAATCTGTGCTAAATGGTAGACTGTTAAATATTTTATGTATTATGGTTATGGCCAAAAAATACTAAAACTGGCATAGGAGCATCCCTAAACTTCAACACTCCTTAAGAACATGAAGATCTACCCTCTCAGAAAAAAGGTACCAAACTGTTACCGGGGTGGTAGCCCTCTTCTCACTGTGGTGGTACCCTCAAGGGTACGTCTTCAGTATCTTTATTTAGGTAACTAAATTTGTAACGTTCACTGTTCTGTTTTAAAACATTAAGTTATGAAAAGGTCTAACTATTTGTCTTTCCCCAGGAAAAAACTTATTTAAGGTACACAGTTGAACCGTAAAATCATTGTTGTACCTTGGAGGTTACATTAAAATTGTTTGTACCTTGACGAAAATTGTACCTGCTCTGTACCTTTCTTTCTGACAGTGCATGAATATGCACAATTATGCTAATTGTAAACCTTCCCCATTTCTAAACCTGACCTTCCCCCACAACTCTGCACGCCGTCTCTACATTTTTCAGATAAGCAGTAACAAAAACATAAAGCTTGATTCCTACATCCAGTTCATCTGGACTGCTACAACCTCTTTGTACAAACCTCTGGCATGATGCCGCACCTCCTGCCACTAAAAAAGCAAGTTCTGCAATGTATTTTTCTCTGTTAATAATGTGATGTCCCAATGCTGTTCTATTTATGTTCATATGTAAAGAATGCGATTTAACAAAATGGATGGATTTTGGATGCATTCTGGGCATAAATGACCACTTAGATGATCAAGAAAACATATGTGTAACTCTTCAGTCACCTTTTAATGTTACTTTGAGTAAACCAACCAATAATAAATAAAAAAAAATAAATTAAAAAAAGTGTTTAACCCCTTTAACACTCTAATGACCAGCTGGTGGGTCAACAGTTCCATACCTCACTCTTGGAGCAGCATACCTTACGTAGCAGTTTCATAATAGTTATCAAGGTGAACAATTTCACAGTATGGGAATATACAGTATGGGAAAATGTTAAATTGTATCGTTAATATGGCTCTCAGTCTCTTCCCTTCATTTGCATTTTGTCATCTTTTGTGAAAACCACTGTCAATGATCAAAACTAGGCATCTGGGTGCATCCTATCAGAGTAAAGTGGGCCGGGCAGCAGGTGTGGGGTGTGTGGGGAGGGGAGCATTGCTATGCACTCAGCCACACTTCAATGACTGGGCTTTCCTTCCAAAGTTCTTTATAAATTCTAGGGCATATTGCTACAGCCCTCTTAGTTACTGATTAATTCATAGTACTTACTGAATAATACCCCTCAAGGTTTAGGGGTTAACACTGATACAGTGCTATTAAGATATGGCAATATTAAATACTGGAACGGCTGACGTGCCTCAATCATGTACTCATACTTTCACACATACCTTTGCTGGTGATGAAAACACATACATTCTCACAGCCACATTATCTAGATTATACAAGCCAGTCCTCTGATTACATGCTTCATGACACACAGCTAACTGAACACACACTGATTCTATCTTAGTCTCTCTGTAATCCTCAATCTCATTACTTGTATCTGGTTCACTCAACACAGTCTCAAGTGTCACTCCAACTCAAAATGGAGAAAAATTCCTCTCAAAAATATAACATAACTTCATCAGTGAATTCTTCATTTTGTCAGGGCAAAACAATGTATCTGCCCCCCAATCACACTATTAAACCACATCTTTCTAATTACTCATAAGTATGATAACTGTCCGTCTATAACGCTCTGTTTTAGACATTACTTGATGTTGCTCATCAAAGTAAACTCGCCATCAAACTGAAGAGGAAACTGAAAAGGCAGCCATAATCCTATGCAGTTTTATGGTACAAGGCCAGTGGCTCTGGAGACTCCATATACTGTTCATTTTTGTGCGTTCCCAGCATATGAAGTAATTGTGAAGCCTGTCATGTGCTACTTCAGGTGTTTTACAGCAGGAACACATACTTAAACATGTCTAACACTGGGGCTGAGAACTCCTGGACAGTGGTCTGGTAACTTAGGGCAGGAGTTCACGCCAAATGTTTGCATTTCTGATAACAGAGGTTCAAAATGTCAGGCATGTATTTTTAATGAGATCTGCTTGTGATGTTTTAAATAGACAGCACTGTAGCTGCCAAAGCTACTTGTATTGGATGTCATGTGCTCATAGCTAGTGGAGTTTCCTCAAACTTGTAGGCTACAATATATTCAAAGTAATGCAGATATGCAGAACATTATAAAAAATGTAAATTCCCATCAAAGCAGACAGTGTGTACAAACTTTTGAAATAGTTATTTTAAAGTAATAGTCCGATGTTTCCTCTTTTTTCAATGTTTTTCCTCTGTGTGAAATTCTTTTTAAGTAAAATACACACCAAAGATTAGCTCCTGTAAGCTTCCATGGGGCATGTAATAAGACAACAAAATTGCTTTTACAATCTCCAACATACTGATAATATTCTTCCATACTCAGGTGGAAGACAGGGTCCAGAATGATCCTTAGAAGAATGTCTAATTTTTTTTACCGTTAGAGGTATTACATTTGAAGATGTCCATGCATATTTTAATGAATCAGGTATCAGCTAAAATAAGTCTGATCCATTTCTGATGTTTTGTCTTTGTATAAACACAGACACATAGACTGTAAGCGTGTGGCTATGCCAGTTTGTTTTCTGCCATTTATCACGAGTGATGTCACCGGAACCATGTATAATATACACTCCCATTATGTTTCTGTCCTGTATTATCCTGTCCTGTAACTGTATTATCTATGAAAACTCCAAAAAGTATCAGCTGATACTTCATATTAAAGGACTAGCGTCTGATTAGAGGGCATGGACATGCTTAATTAAATTATGATTCCTAAGAAATAGGTCATATTATATATGAAACTATTTCAGAAGAGTCAGCCTACCAGAGCTATCCAGCCAACAATACAATAGTCCTGTGACCACCGATTAAAGCAAAACTGATAAAGAAATCAGTTTGAATATAATATATATTAATGTATGCTATATTGGAGTTTTCTGTGTGCCATTGTGCAATGGAGACGGTACCATTTTTGCTATGCTGAGGACTTAAAAGTTATTAAAAAGAATTGAATTTGATTTTAAAAACTGTGCAAAAACTGTGGGAGAACACAGGAACCTGAAGCTAGCAGGTTCAGCTTACTATTACTATCAGCTAACTATTAAGCTGATTGGAGGGCTGAAAGATTAATTGATTTTATAATAAAATTGCAATTTGAAAGATTGTAAGAGCTGCAAATGTAATTATGGCTCACATTTTTAACAATGCTATCTTAATCTTAATGAAATAGGGAACTTACATAACAAATTTAACCTAATGAGCTCATTCATCTCTATGATTTATCGATATCAGGAAACCCTGTCCAGATTGGCATTTTTAAGACAATGACCCTAAGACGTGTGTAAGTGTAAACGCACCCAAGACACATTTAAAACAGATGCTAATCCAATCACTCAAACCACTTCAGGAGGTGGTCTGAGACCCATACAAGCCACGTTATGGCAGTGTAAACACATCTGTCTCTTCTAGAAACATTTGACAACCAAAACCCCTCCCACTACAGCTGAAACTCCTCCCCAAGCAGCACATCACTGGGCATGTGATCTGTGCCTGTGAGGAAGATAATCACACCAGACTACACAAAAATGCTTAACAGCAATACTACTGTGCAGAAACACGCTGCAGATGAAGAGATAAACCTATAAACAACTGGTAACTGGTTGCTGTGAAAGGAACAGATTTGCATGTTCCGTCTCACACAGTAATCGGTTTTCAGTCTGACTAACCAGAGACGCATTTGACTACCAAGTGTAAATGCATGTGGCTAAAATCTTATGCAGATACAATCCAGATACTTGTAACATCAAGAGACCAGGTGTAAACGGGGTCTAAGAAAATAGTGAAACTTTCATACCAATGAAGAGAATGGGGAAGGTGATGAAGAGCAGGAAGACATGCGGAACCAGGTTGAGTGCGTCCACAAAGCAGCCGTTATTCAGGACTCCCTTGTCCACGCTGTAGGAGTTGTTGAGATCGTTCCCACAAAATGACAAGGCCATGTTGCCTGACTGCGCCAAAAGATCCTGGAGCAGGGATTAGAGAATTGCTGGTCATCAGCCATGGAAAAATGCTGTTCTGTGCAGCTTGTTCAATACGCACTAAAAGGCTTCACAATTATTGTATAAAAACACTGAAGAACCATTAATGTGGTACAAATTTTTTTTGTCACGATCATGGTTATTCAGTGGTGTATACAGCATTTGTCATCTAGTACCATCTAGAGTCTAATGTCTGAAAAAAAACAGACAAAATACACAGGCTGCCATGTAAGCCTTCACCTCTTCATCTTTAAAGAGATTCATAGCCACATAATGACTGGCCCTGTGTTTGTACTTAAGTGGCTGCTCAGTAATCACTGCTACTGGGGGAGGTCTAGTGTGATGTCTGTGTAATTTCCATCACACCTTTCCAAAACCCTCTCTCAAATGACTTCCAGTCCTGAATCTCTGTTCACACTGTTGGCGATGTAACGTTCTTTAGTAAAGGCAATGGCTCTATTTTATGCCTAAACAGTTCTTTGCATGGTGAAATGGTTCTTCCGATTGACAGAGAATGCGTTTTATATGCTTCTATACAAAACCTTTCCAAAAATGGTTCTATATAGCACCAAAAAGTGTTCTTCTACTGCTGCACAGCTTGGCTTTGAATAAAAGAAAAGAACCTTTTTGGTGCCATATGGAACCATTTTTAAAAAGGGCCAATATATAACCATATACAACATATTCTCTATCAATCTGGAAAACTACTTAAGCATGAAATAGTTCTACATAGAATCCATGGTTGTAAATAGAGCCACTGCCTTTACAAAAGAACCTCTGAAGAACAACCTTTGTGAAGAGTGTAGGTCTACTGAGGTGACCTGACAAGTGGATTTAAATGACGAAAATGTAAAAGTAACGCCAGAGAAACTAACATTATTCTCTCCACAGAGTTAAATCCGCCCTCAGTGTGGACAGAAAAAGCCAACTTAGAAGAAGTCAGCTTTTCAGAAGAAGCCAACTTGCTCCACGCATTTCTCAGAGTGGAGCTCAGTGACATTTTCTTCTCGAGGACTCTCTAAACTCGCTAAAGTAAGAAGAAAACAGACCAAGAAGTAAACGCTCACTTACTGGAAGAAATGTCCCGAATCACCACGTTTTCATTCCCGAAGCCTGTGTTTTTTGGAGACGGCAGTCTAATCACACACACACACACACACACAATGAGAGAGAGAGAGACAGAGAGAGAGAGAGTAGTAGGGACTGATTATTTTTAGCCGTTGTGCATCAGCTGTGCGCATACTCCATCTCTGCCTGCTATCGGATTTCCAAACTTGAGCAAGTGAACTGAGAGAGAAACGCCACACGGTCCTCCACACAGCCTGCTGCCAAAAGATAATACAGGGAAAAGACACGGGGTGCTTCACGTTTCCTTGGCATTTTTCGATATGAGCACATTTAGGCTACGTGTTAAAGATATTCAGGGATGTAGCTTAGTGAATGGAAGGTTAGCCACCTTGTAGCGATGAACAGTCGTGGGTGGATCGGTTTCAGCTTATCTGCATCTCTGTACAGATACAGTGCGGACTTATTCCTCTTATTAATGTGTAAATAACCTCACACTAGGCTAAAAATGGAAAGCGTTACGATACAGCTCACTATTTCCGACCTATCTAAGCCAGTTTAACCCTCAGCATCCTCACCTTCGCCACAGCGCTCATTCAGGCTCATTCAGGACTCGCGAATTTGACCGTTCCACCTTAAATGGTGCAGCAGTTACATTCTGGCGTCTCGGGCCGCAGGGACCGAATGTAACTGCTGCACCATTTAAGGTGGAACGGTCAAATTCGAGCAAGAAGCTGGCGAATAAGACGCTGACTTCAGCTTCGCAAGACAACACACAACACCAGCAAGCTGAGTGAAATCTGGGTTACAGAGACTCGTTGTGCAGGTGTTCACACACACACACACACACACGGTCCGGGTTTGTCCAGCTCTAACCACACTCAAACACATCCACACTCACCTAAAACCCCCGGTTCCTCGCCTCCTCTGTGCCTCCTCTCACCCTCGCTGTGGTGGCTCTGCTCAGTGATGCTGCTCTCTTTCTGCTTCAGTCCACAGGAGCGTTATGGCGGCGCCACAGCACCTCCTCACATGTAGGGCAAGTAAAGAACAGCGGGACAATCACAGGACCCTCCACTCAGCTCCGTCTTCATGTGTCACACACACATACACTGAATGTGTCTTTGGACGGACAATGCAGCCGCAGAATCAGCGGCGAATTTAGGCATAGATGCTAATATGTAGACTCTGCGCGTGCAGTGACTGTATGTATTTTTATCTTTATCAAAGGCAAAATGTGTCACAGAGAGATTTGACTGGGCTGATCAGTGTTAAAGGCTTACTGGCTGCTCTGCCCTGATTTCTTTGATAAAACCGGTGAATATGGCATGTATGATTCCTCGTTGTTAATCTGATAAGAGCTGGTCTGTGACCCTCTGCTGGCCCTCTGAAGAAATCTGTGCTCTCATGCCTTCTTCATGACCCATAACCAATATTAGACTCATGGGAGCTGGGGCTGCACTGTACGTCTCCCATTCATTTTGCACTCTGTACACTATTTCTCATGCCCCCCCCCCTCCTTTTTTTCTTTTCTTTTCTTTTCTTTTCTTTTCTTTTCTTTTTTTCTTTTCTTTTCTTTTCTTTTCTTTTCTCATTCATCTTTTTTTCACTTTTAGCCAATGTGTTGATGTTATATACAATGTCATGTGCCATTTAACTGTTGGAGGTTACAAAGTTGAATCTGTTAAGAAATTAACTCTTAATTATTTTATGTTTTTCAGAATTCACAGGTTCAAACTGAAAGAAAATTAACTTAATATGAACAACACAGCATAAAAATACAATCAGAACACCAACTGTAATAATAATAATAAAAATTGTGATCATAATAATTAGCAAGAATAATTTATTTTAGTTTTTTAATTTCTTTTGAATAAATTTTAATTAATTAATAACAATAATAATAACAACAACTGTTAATTATTATCATTAATATCTTTAGAGACCATGGCAGATACCAAATTGATAGGTTGTGATAACTGACTTTTGTTAAGAGACAATAAGAGGATTGTTTGTAATTAGAAAGCTTTGCCTGACTACTTCATTTAGTACACCGCCTTGTTTCTACACTATGTCCATTTTTTGAGCTGCTCTTACCATCTAGGTGCACTTTGTAGTTCTACATTTACAGACTGACATCCAACTTTTTTTCTGCATACTTTGTTAGCCCCTTTCACCCTGTTCTTTAGTGATCAGGACCCCCATAGGACCATCACAGAGCAGGTATTATTTGGGTGGTGGATCATTCTCAGTGCTGCTGGAATTTTTAAACACTCACTGTCCACTCTGTTAGACACCCCTACCTTGTTGGTCCTTGTAGATGTAAAGTCAGAGACAGTAGCTCATTTGTTGCGGCACAGTTTGTGTTGGTCATCCTCTAGTCCGTCATCAGTGGTCACAGGACGGTGTTGGCTGGATATTTTTGGTTGGTGGACTATTCTCAGTCCAGCAGTAACACTGAGGTGTTTAAAAACTCCAGCAGCACTGCTGTGTCTGATCCACTCATACCAGTGCAACACATACTAGCATGCCAACACGCCAGAAGTCGACTTTTAGTACAACATTGTGATGCTGAGGACATGTGAATACAATATTAAAATAGAATTCTACACACTTTTTTCAGTATGTTTTGCTTAATTCTGTGGTTGAGATGTAAACAAAGTCATTCAAAGAGTTTTGATGTAAAATGTTTAATTGTAGAGAAACTTACTAACTCTTGATTTCCTTTACAGTGGTTGTGATAGGAACCACCAGGGATCTCAGCACAGAGGTTGAATCTCACATGGCTCCCTATTCCCTATAGGTGTCTTCCACACCCAAGTAGCAGACTAAATGTTGAATAATGATTCATGCATCCTGTGGCTGTATCCCATATGGATTTATTTAGACATATAATGCTCTTTTGGGTGCAGTAATCATTATTTCCTGTACTACATAGCAAACTACATATAGTCATTTTATTTACTATACAAAACAACTAGTGAATCTACACCTGTCTTCTGAATTTTTATATGTAATGTTGATGACAGTAGTGGTAAATTTGAAAAAAATAAGTTTTCTTTGGGGGACAAGACTATTTTGCCCTTTATGTACCTCTCCGCCATGAATAGATATTGAAAAAAGCATTAGGCTTTATCTCTACACTATTGTAAAACAACGTCTCAGACATCAGGCAGCATATTCACAGCCAGTTCATGCCATAATGTCCTGTGAGGTCTCTTTAAAGGCTTTGAGCGTTTGCTTCACATCACCATACTGTGAACAATTCTAACTCAGTACGTTTCTCTAGAACAGTGCGTTATCAAACAACCCTGAATTACCTTGTTTAGATGTTAATCATTTAATTATGCAGAAATTTTGAAAATTCTTTGGAATTCCCTCTTAAACTGGCTACAGGAGTCATTGAGGTTACCGATCATCTAGAGACTCCGCTGCAGGAGAAACTGCTGTATGTAAGTGTGCTTGTGTGTCTGTTGGGGGAAGCGAGGGTGCGTGTTGGGAGACACGGTGGGTCCCGGGGTCAGTTTCATTGTGTGTGTTTGTGTGTGTGCAGACATTCACATCCCCTCTGGGGCGAGAATGGAGCAGCTCTGATCTGCTCTGTCCAACACACAGGAAGTAGCACAGGAAGTAGCCCATGTGTGAACCATCAAAGCGGCCTGCGGTGACACCCCGACTGGGGGAAAGCCAGGCCCGAACTGGTCTGGAGGGTTCAAGGTTCAAACAGCAACAACTTTGAGAAAGTTCCAGATTCCCATCAGTAAGCCAGGAGTCAGTAAGCCTCTGCACATGTAACATGCGTCATCATCAGCTCAGCAAAATTAAACACAGATAAGTTGCTAAAGGTCCTGTCTCGAAAGACAAACAAACGTCACTGGGGAGATTTAAGAGCATGTGATCACTGCATTTGGTCCCTTTATTTCATCACTCAGGCACATTTTGTCTGTACAACCAAATGGTTTTGATTTTTTCAGTCATAGAAATAAAATCAGTAAAATACATTCATGTTTGCGTCTCTTCTTTGAGATGGTTACTGCTGTAACAGAAAAACAGCCCCTCTTTCCAGTTGCATTCTGGGGTCACCAATAGCCTAACCAATCATAGGCTAATCAATCATAAGCTTGATGACTAGGCTATGGTTGCTTATCCTGTGACTGGCAAGCCTGCAATTGGTAAGTCAATAATTATTAGCCTGTGATTAATTAGCCTATGGTTGGTTTTCCTATTACTGGCTAGCCTGCCACTGGTTTGCGGATGATTGTTAGACTGTGATTGGTTAGGCTACAATTAGTTAGCCTGTGGTTGATTAGCACATAATTGATTAGCCTGTGACTGGTTACCCAGTGAGTAGTTGGCCTGTGATTAGGTAGCCTGTGACTGGTTAACTTGTAATTGATTAGCTTGTGATTACAGGGACTGTGTTTGGTTAAACTGTGATTCGTTAGCCTCTGATTGGGTAACCTATGCTTGGTTGTAACTGGCACTGCCACTCTCACCTGCTCTATGCTAAGTATATAGTGCACTAATAGGAATTTAAACTCGTTACTGAATACTGTACATATGAATTCAATGAAAGCTCAGTATTCACCTATACAGACACCAGTACACTACTGACGCAGTGGCAATAACTCCCCCCCCCAACCCCCCACCCCAGACTGCTGTCAGATGACAACCCTAGTCGTCAGCAGAAGAGGGATCCAAGCTCTGGTTTTTCCAGTGATGACTGAGCTTTCGGCTAAATGATTACATGAACACGTCTTTAATTAAGTGCTCTTCTGTCCCAGACAGCAAATGTTCAACACAGACGTCATTCCGATGAATTCATGCAGCTCTGCAATATTTTGTTTTGTGCCACTGTAAGAGAGATTGGAAGCTAGTGAGGTGAAGCTGCCAAGTACATGATACCAGGCGGTTTTTTTTATACACAACCCCATCACACACAGAGAGAGAGAGAGAGAGAGAGAGAGAGAGAGAAAGAGAGAGAGAGAGAGAGAGAGAGAGAGAGAGAGAGAGAGAGAATGACATAGCACTGTTTATTTAACAGTGGCATGACCATGCAGTCATTTCTATATCAGTGTAAACGAATGCTTAGTGACATTCAGACAGCGGCTCCCAGGTGTCCGAAAACCATTAAACATGTTCGTCACCCAACACACACACAATTTCAGT